CAGCGTGTGAAACAAATGACTGTGTTACGATTCACGTGACATTTTCGCACGACAGGCGAGTTGAAAAACACCATCGATTCATTAAATTAATATACTTGCTCTACTTTTTTTGACCTAAACGTTTTAAACACAAGTGTTTTATTTATTTAACAGTTTTTTTTTAAGATATTCCCTCTTTCGAAGTTGGGGGGGGGGAGAGAGTTAACTCCGAAAGAGACTTTTATGTTACATTTCAGTTGTTTGTTTCTCATTACTATTGTATGAGTAATAGGTTATATTTACTACTATATGTGTGCATACAAATCTTATGTTCGGTCAGTACTGTTGTTCCTTAATACTGGTTGGGCGATTTCAACAAATCAGATATTTATAAGCAAGTAAAGATTCTTTTTTCAACTACTATTATAACAACGTGACTATTAATAATATTTTATTATGCATTGGAATGAGGAAAGCCAATCAATTCACTAAAAGTAGTTAAACGAGCGACGATCAAAATACACAAAATAATGATTCGATCGTATTTATACTGATTAAACAAAAGAAAAATATCGATTTCGCAAAAAATCAACCAGGAAGAAAAATAAGTCGATGTACAGTCACGAACAAAATTGATTTTGTACGTATTTATCCTACTGCAGTCACGTACGAGGTGTCAATTAATAACAAGAACAATTCGATTAAGGAAATCGAAGTTAATTTGTTGTTTCTTACTCATGGCGTATAATTTAACATTTTTTTAAATAATGTAACTTAAATAATACTTATTCAAGTTTCTTTAGTTTAAGTGTTTTAATTTAATTTTAATTAGTGAGAACTTATTTTAAAAACTACGCGCACTTCTCCTCACAATCATACAAGTGATATATCGACTATTTTCATGTCAGCGAAGGCTCTAGGGGAGGTCAGATTAATTTCCGTTCCGGAGGCGCTCTACCGGTTTCTAGAATTATCATTATGAACTCTTTCAATATTTGTAATAACGCGCAAAGGTCAAGGAAAATAATATACAAATCTATGCAATATTACAATTTGAGAGTTTGCTAAATTGGTAGTTTATTTAACGCGTTAGACTTTTGTATAAGTAATTTTCGCAACTATACGCCGTGGGACTAGGGACTGACCGCTGCGAAGCGTCCTTTACATCGGGTCGTATGTAGTCATTGTATTAAACGTAAGATTTGTGTTTATTCAAACAATGTAAGTACGTAAGTAAAACACTTACGAACACACTTTTAAAAGTGCTAAATTATCAAATGTAGAATCTAAAAAAAATAATTTAACATACCAGTGTACTTTTTTTTACTACTATTAACGTGATCGCTTTTTAATCTGTTAAGTACAGTGGAAAAGTACCACTTGCGTAAACTAAAGATAGTCAGTCATCAGTCAGCATACACTGTAAAATAATTATGATACAACCGTAATTTAAAGTATGTGAACTTTTTTTTTGTAGGTACCTATCTCCTAGTATGTAAATTTTATCGGACCCCACGACTCGTGCAAAACATCCGAAAGTCGGTTTGAGACAAATTAGCCAATACAGAGGGTAGATAGAGAGAGACCTGAAACGAATGGGACGGGGACAAAGATAAGAAAGAAATTTTGCCACGATTTTTGATTTTTTGTTTGATTTGATGTAAAGATTCAATTACATCAAAAAACGTGACAATTTCCTTGATTTAAAGCTATTTCATTAAAATTAAATTAACAAACATGAAACTCTTTAATTCATGAATTGACTAATTATGTATTTAAAGATTTATTTGGCGTAACGAAACAATTATAACGTCGCTTTGAAATGCATTACCAGTTTAATTACATCAGCGAGTAATTGGCAATCTAAAATAGATATTATATTTACATATTACTTTTGTCTATGAAACGTTTGTTCAACGTTTGAATGTAATATACACGAGTTTGTTATCCGAGTTAATTATTTCAATCCTTAGGTATGTCTTCTTTTCTCGTCTTATAAAGTTTTCAAAGGGATCTTTATTTTCTTAATATGATTTTTTCACGGATGTCATTAGGCCATCAAATTAAATTGTGTTGTCGACGTATATTGACTTTTGACATTCAAAAATCGACAGATTTGTTGGCTTTTCCATTTGTGAAATGTGGTTCGTGTCCTGTAGCGTGATTCAATATCCACATTTTCTAAACGGCGTACCCAGGTATAACATATATTTAAAAAATATTCTCTCTGACAACTTAACTAAATAAAGCTGAAGTCGATTCAAAAGCATATTTGTCATAGGTAGAAATTATTAGTCTCCAATTCTTTTTTATTTTATAATAGTCTCAAATTCTTATCACTGGAACAACGATAACGAATACGTTATTATTATGAGTAGCAAGTTCAGAGAATTTTCAAAGGATCAGAAAGTATAATCGTTTATCTTTACGCGTAACTTATTAGCAGATAAGCAGATAAAGATTTGCAACCTTTATTGGTACTAGTGGTATAAAGAGACTATTTGCTTACTTAACTCAGACCGGGAAATGTTTTATTTGGCCTCAGGCATTAAATAAAACCTGTTTTTTAAGGCTGTAGATTAAAAACTCTTTTTCACATTGTTAAACACTCGCATTTCTATCGCAAATTTTATAAGTTATTATGCACGTTATTCGCGAAAAAATTTTGTTTTGTGTTATAAATAATAAAGATGTAATAAATAAATAAATCAATTAAAATATATTAAAACTAGTATAGTTGGATAGTCCACTGCTATTAAGCTTTACTATAGCAATTTGCGGATTTGAGCCAAAAATAGAGTGCTGTTTTGATATTTTTAAGTGTTAAATAATATCTATCTAGACGACGTCGTGACAAACTAACTCGATAACTTGCTCTTGCGTTGTTATACCCAAAGCATTTGATCTCCGTCCAATTACTTGCAAAGTTGCCCACAGCCGATGCTTAATTCTCAAGTAAACAGTTGCATAATGGTTATATAACTGTCCGAGCTTTAACTGAGCTAAGTAATTTCGCTTAATAATTTCTTGACTTGACAAACAAAGTTTATCCACTAATAATTTTAGCATAATAGCTTAAGTATTATTATAGATATGCAATTCTTCCGCTATTATCAGCTGTAAATAAAGATACTAATTCGATTTTTAAATGTTAACAAGTATTTAGTGTTGATTAAGTAATCATTATATTATGTCAATTTACATATTTTTGCCGTTTAGTTACGATATTATTTACCTAGTAGGTATGTCTATAAAATTTAATTTATTATAGGTATATATTATTGTCTTTAGCTTACGCAAATAGTACACAGAAAATTTATTTTTAATAAGACCCAATGTTTCTATGTTTTGTTGGAGGTAAAAAATTGTGTATGTTTCGTGTTTTAAACCGTCAAGTGATTTATTGAATGTCAACGACATTGTACTGTACAGACGTCTCCACTACACTTAAGGGTTTTTAGGTACCTAATAGGTATAAGTTTTTCATTCGGAGAAAACATTTTGAAACGATGTCAGTATAACGTTTATAACAAATTTTGTATACAATGTTACAACTAAGTTATAGCTCGATATCAATTTCGTAGGCCCGCTTATCGTAAAGCCATAAATAACATACTTTCACTAGTTTGTTTAAGCGACAAAACCAATGCTAAGTTGAGTAATGTACTCGCCATTGAAAAAAAAACATCAATAGCCGTCACGTAACGTACGTACGATTAATTATAACGTTACGGGTTTTTGTGCCGACTGCCGAGGCGGCGTACCTGCCGAGTGGCGCCGGAATGCGAAGCGAGGACGGGAGAGGGGTGGCCGGTGAGGTCACTCGGTGCATTGCCCAGTGATGCGCCGGCTTGTCGATAAATTTGCACATATTATCTGTGCAAATTTATCGACAAGCCGGCGTTTTATAAAAGACTGCTTAGTCCTTTCAGCGGTACACGTATCCATTGCTAGGGTCACCCAAAATCGCACAACGCTCTCGCAAGATAAGATGTTTCATTTTTAATATTGCCTCGTTTATATAAATAGAAAACTTTTGACTGGACGTTTCAGATGCTTAATTAGGTACAATATGAATTAGTTGCGTAATCCTTCAATAGTTAGTTATTTACTTAATACTCGTAGTCATTATTAAGCAAGATTCGAACTTTCTTCTGCAATAAGTTTTATCAAAGTTCATTCAATGAGATCATATAATAACGAACAAGATAACAAACATCTCATCATTGTCTTGAAATATGTTTTGATTTATATATATAAATTAAACTTCAATAAGTTAATAAGTATATTAGATAGGTAATTAGTAAAAAGGGTTTTTAATGACTTCTACGAAGGTCAGTCTTAATGAATAACGATTAAGTCATATTATCAATTGTTATGTTCATCTTGCCTTATGAATTGTTAGTCTTTTAGAATTATTGAATGCCCATTATTTATGGCAATTTATTACGCAGTTAGACGAATTATGTAAAATAAATGACTTATTGCTAAATGTGTTTGGCAGATTTAATATGACTTTTAATTAAGGAATATATCATGAGAAAAGTCTTCGTTAAATAAATTACAACATATAATGTGATATTGGCTTCAGTATCGATGCCAGTTTTTCGAAAATCCGTCATGTTTAGTTTTTACTTACGTAATCTCAAAACATAACATAATGTAGCAGGCTAATAAATACAAAAGGGCAGATTATTGAAATTACGCATGTATAGTTTTATCGACATACCGCGTTCATCGAGCTGCAGCCAGCCCAAACGAGGTCGCAGCCCATCGGTGGGGCTCCCTCTCCCTCCGCCTCGGCCGGCTCCCCCTCCTACGTATATAACGAATCTCAATTCGCGCGCCGCGTCTTTCGTTACGCCGCTGCCGTATAGTCCTGTTCTCGTGCGTCTGCCACACCACGCGGATCGAATTGTGAAAGTGTCGTGAACGTTTCTCGTCAGTGAGAGTATAACGCGCCAGACTACTAAGTCTATAAAGCGGTGTGAAATTTCCTCGCATTCCTAAGCGTGGGTTCAATGGAAGCCAGGTTCGTGACCTGCCGGAGTTTCCAGCAGATCAAGCCGCCCGAGAAGACCTTAGCCCCGACGCCCACCGTCAAGGGGCTGCTGTCTCGTTTCGGCAGTCAGGCCCAAGCTCTATTTGCTCCGAAAAAGCAGAAGTTCGGATCGTCGGTCGCCATCCACAAGTTGAGGGAAACGAAGTGGTTCAAGCATGAGGAGCAGAACATATTGTGCGCTGTTCTCGAGTCGGGATTCGTCCTGGAGGTGCGGGCGGAGGACCCCCTGCCGTCGGACTCTGTCGTCTCCCCCGACTACCATATGTACGCCATCGCCATGTGGAAGAAGGGTAAAGGTATGTAACTGTTGGGACATCGATAACATACGTGACGCGACTTGGCATCGTTTCGTAGCGGTCGCGCGACGATAACGAAGTCCACTGATTTGTAAATAATTCATGTAGTACGCGTCAAGTGATCGCCACTAATGAGATCAAGGCGCGAATTGTATTTATATCCGGTAATACCGGTTCGTCTCACTTCAGAGAACCGTTGTTTGTGCCGAGCGCCGTAGGCCAGAACTCGTTTATTTAAAAACTTGTTCTTAGCTGCACGTAATTACCATAATCGAAATCGACCTTGGTTAAGCTGTGGCGGTGTTCACAATTCGAGCGGTGTGAAACAGTTTCTATTTGCCCACAGAAAAAACAAAGAACCCGGAACAGATAGAGGTGTACACCGTCCAGCAGAAGGGCGTAAGAAAACGGATTATCAAAACTACCCTGAGTAACTTCTGGAAGAAGGACTCCGTGATTAGAATCAACAACGTCGATGACAAGCAGGAGACACCCAACAGTGAAAAGGACATAAGAGCCAAGGTAACGATCCCACGGCCGACGTTTCCAATTCAAATCCCTTCCATATATCGATAATGTCTCGTGTAGGGAACAAGTACGGCATTCTATAGCTCTTACGTGTATTAGAAATCGCGATTGACAAGCCAATGACTAATTGAAGACGAAGATAGAATTATCTCAAATTGCATAATGCTTTTACGACAACAATAGTAAATACGCCCGTAGTATACAAAACATTATTGTAACGTAACAACTTCAGTTACGCGGCCTCGATATAAATGCAAATAAATCGTCCTCGTTTCGGAGCAGATGCTCAACGGATTTGCCACTTTATCAGCTTTCGAATTGCTAATTTCGCCCTCAGATACCCCTTAGGGTCCTATTGTCAACCGTTAAAGGTCAACTCTACATCAGAACTCTTCCTCTCTAGGATAGACGTCAGAATTGGAAACCCTCTCATTTCAGATAGCCTCAACGGGCTTTCTATTCGGAAAACAGTGGACAAGCTACTAAGGAGCTTCTACTGATTGCAGCTTGACATGGCAACGAAATCCAGGTTCGAGAGGAACTGGCATAACACGCTACACTTCGTCCATTGGTGCCGATACGGTGAGACGCCGCAGGAAGCTCGAATGAGACAGGTAAATAACTATTTATTGGAATTGATCAACACGCCGGAAAATTCTAGAACGGAAAACCGAAACAGTGTAGCCTTCCTTCTGTGTTCTAGAATTTGTGTGATTTCAGTTGCATCATGCATGACAACGTTCATTAAAGCTGTCCTTACAATTAGCAGATTAATTTCGTAATAAAACAGCCGCCTCTACATAAATCCCACCGTATAGTGAATTTTGTATTCCTCGAGAAGACATTTTGCCAAAAAATAATTGTTTAGGAAATGCCACTAGTAGTTTGGCATACGTTCGAGTCAAAGAATTTGTAAAGGCAGTTTGAGTCACCGTCATGATTCCATATTCACAGTTTTGCTTACTGTAGCTTTTTCATAGTTTTCCGCTTTTCATCGGACGGAGACTGGTTCGGCGATCGTGCATGGGGTTACGGGGTGAATATAAAAAAGATCGCACAAAGTAGTAATTCTGTTCCAGATCAGCTTAACCACGTCGAAAACACCTATGATTATCATCTTTTGATGGTAATCGTTGAGGCGCTTTGGACAAACAGCTGGCAACAATTTACCGGTGAGGGTTTTTCTTTTCCAAATTCGAAGGCCCCAACTCTGTGACTGTTTAACTTGTGTTCTCTCTTCGCGTATCTGTTGCAAAACTTTTCCAATCATTAGAATGTTTCATAGTGCTTATAGATAACGCGCTTATAGATTTGAGGACTATCTCAAATTGCTAACGATACTTTGTGAATGACGTGTTCTAGAAAACTCCTAAATAAGTTTGTGTTATATTTATCTTAGTTAAGTCGATCGCGAAATCTATCGGCACCTTTGCGTGACAGAATGACGTCTGAAGATATAAAAGTATACTATCGATATCATATATTTGAAGATACTTATCTTAAATCCACCTTACTACGTGAGTCATTCGTAAAGAGAAGGTTGTTGATATTACTGAACCTATTTCAATGCGACCAGGATTCTTATTAGATACAGCTACTTCCAAATGTATAATTTTGAATTAAGTAAGTTTCATTAAGACGAAAATATCAATCCAAAGAATCGTTTACATATAACCTCCCTCTTAAAATAACTTGGTTTTATGTCATTTGTACAGCTAAGAAATTGAATCAATATTGGATTGTGTTTTAGAGATAATTAAGAACACGTTCTAATTGTCATATAAATTTTACTAGTTCCTTGAAATACTTATCCGTTCTTAACGTATAAATATACATTATTTATTAATTTTTATCAAAAAATCGTACTCTAAATATATACACTGTACTCTTAATTACTTTATCCTCTCAAACTTTAAACAGCAAATTTTTAAATCACGATCATCAGAAAACAATAATTCAAAAATAAAGTTAAGTCTTACAAGAATCTATAATATCGAATCGTAAACAAAGCGAGTTTGAACAATGAGATCATACGAATGAATATACCAAGGAGTTTTATATTCGAAGTTAGTGACACTGAATTAAAATGCTTGATACACTTGATTAAATATTGAATCATTTGTAGTTTTCTTTGCTTAAATAACATGTTTTAGTTGGCAACATCGTTCCTTAAACGTGACATCAAAATGACCAGCGCGTACGACAGAAGTCAATTTATTCTAATAATTTAGGTTAATTGAGTGTATCGCTGATTCAAAACTGCCAAGTTCTCATTTAATGCAGTTTAAATTGGCTAAAGTGGCGCTTTTCATTAATTAACGTCTAACACTTAGATAGGCTATCTAAAGTGTGTATAAAAAAATGAGGTAGTTATTACAAACAGTAAAATTAAATCAGTGAAAAAAAAGGGTTTACGAATATTAAATAACTTTATATACTAAAACCCCTTAAGCCACGGATACACTAGGGGACAAATGGAGCAACATGTAGCGGAACATGTTCCTCAACAACTACGTGGAATGTGCCGAGATACATGTCGCGGAACATTTTGTCGACCACACTTCTCAGTGTTTATAGAAATGTCGCCCGAGGAGGTTTTGTGGCTATTAGTGCTGCGTACATAGTAATTATATCGAGTGTGTTGAAACGTAAGAGAAAGAGAAGGTGGTGGATGCGGAATTTCTTATTACACTACTGACAAATGGCAGACTACACTCTGTGACAAATGGCGCAACACTGACGCGGGACACATGCGCTCGCTCTCGAGGCGGGAGCAAGCAACATGCCCCGCGTCACGTAAAATGTTGAGGGTCATGTTGCGAGACACTATACAACGTTGCAGCGTCACGTATATTTTGTGTTGCGCGTCATGTTGCGGGACAAAATGTTCCCTAGTGTATCCGGGGCTTTATAGTTAAGAAGCGATCTATACTGTATAAGAGATTCCATAATTCTATTTTACCTTGTTGCAGATAAGCGAGTCATTGAAATGGGGTAACATCGGCATGAATATGGGCGTGATGCTAGTCAGCCAGACCAACGCACGTCCAAAGGCAAAATCAGTCTGATTGTCACAGGCCGGCGGTGCCGGCACCTGCTACGCTTGCTTCTGGCAACCCTCGGCCGGAGAAATCGATTTCGTTTAATCTCTATACTCTATGCATCCGCTTCTTGTTGTTCCAAATACAAACATGACATCTCTATATAGATACTTTGAATCTAGACATTGCATAGATTGTAATAGAACCTTTACACCGATTTTCAATATGGTCGAGGGTTTGTAAGTCAAGTACATTTTTTGGGGAATCTCTAGCAAACGAGGTCCAACTAGTTTGAAACTGAAGTAAGGATCTCTACATTAGATATTTTACGTTCCGAACGACGGCCACAGATTATAAATTAAACGTATTTTTGCTCAAGTATCTGAATTGCGATAATTATAATCTCTAAATTTCGACAGCTATAACATTCCTGAAATTAGTCGCGCCCTGCGGCACTTAGGTATGGATAGACTTATTTGAATAGTATGATATTCTAGATTCTACGATGATAAATGTTCAAATAATGTTGTAACTGTTAAACAATATTAAAGTTAAAGACTGTGGATTACTGTAAATCGTTACGTGTATCCGATCTAAAAACATGGCGGCTTGTTTTCAATTAAAATTTTCAAAAACCTATATACTTATGCATAGAAATTAGAAATAAATTAAAAATGTTGTGCATACATAATGTATGACTTTTAGGATCAAAATACAGATAATTTAAAGTCGCTAAGTTTTTAGCGTTCGGTGTATTTGAAGAGTATTGTTAAGTATTTCTATTTATATTTACGACCTAATGTGGTGTTCGCGAGTACGACTGTTGAGAGTATTCTTAAGTTCGATGTGCTATTTATATTGAAGCATTTTTATAAATAAATTGATTATAAATATTGTGTATTTTCTTTTCACCTTACGACATCACCTTGATGATTCACTGTTTGTCTGATTGTAGGTAATTATGAAGGTCGTAATGACGCATCATATTTGCTTTTGAATATCTTAAGGACGCGCTATCTTTACGACATTCTATGCTTTCTTAGTTCAGTAATTATACGGAAATAATGTGATATGTAGGTACTTTTTTATAAAATAATATAGTTACCTATAAATACATATTTAAACTAACAACAAATCTTACATTAAAAACTTAAGAATGACGACTTTATTATTTACTTAACAAAAAAACTATGAACTTTTGCTCTAATCATATACATTTATATTAATATTTAAACGTATTTGTTGTCATTTCTCCTCTAACAAATAGCAATTAAATCATTCAGCGAGTTCAATAGACCAGACAGACAAACAAGTTTTTATATTGAAATTGTTGCATATTTGCGAGGATCTAATATACAACGCTAAAGATCGTTAAATAAAATTGAGTATCACTGTTATAAAACAAGTAATATAGTGTTTAGATAATGAAATGAGGTCATAAAAATGATATTTGCTTAGGTTGAATACATAGGCGCAATCTAGTGACGTTATATTGAATTATACGGTTTAAGTTTTCTTGTATTAACAGCGCAAAACTAGATGGCGCTCTTATCGCAAACAGATTATTACATTTAATATGTACTGTAAAATTATTGTGGAGTAAAAAACAATATATTCTAGGCTAAACTACTACTCAAACTGGGTTATACAAAGTTCGTTTTAAATTATTTTTAGTATTCATTTCTGCAAATTATGTCTCGTTTTTGTTTCTTTCTAACCCTCCAGTACCCAAAATTAGAGGAGGTGGAATTTTGCTTCGCATTGTTTAAGGTAGAGAGCTAAAAATTTTCTATGCAGACTATTTGTGACTTCAATATATTTTTTTGTATGTTAAGTTAGTCAAAAGTTGTTGATAAATTAGGGCTACAGTATTTCATTTTTCATTACTCAAGTGAATCCTAGGCTAGTTCATCCTTCTCTACCAAAAAAAACCGACGTAGTAACGTAGACGGTGGTTTATTATATTGGTACTTACACTAATTTATCTCAGCAATACTATGGAATTTCAGTTAAAACAATCACTTACCTCTCTCAACAAGCCAAACAGCATATCTGTAGACAGCGACCTCTCGTGCGCTTCGTCCATAATTACGGCGCAGTAGTTGTCCAGGTCCGGCTCTCGAAGACCCTCGCGGAGAAGTATACCGTCAGTCATGTATTTGATCACCGTATTCGGGGACGTGCAGTCTTCGAAACGTATGGCATAGCCAACCTCTTCACCTGCAATCAACATTTAAAAAATAACATTACTATTTAACAGGAATTTTACCCTTATTTGGTCAAAATGTTGATGTTAAAACATGTGAGCCTATTATCCATTTCGTGACGATGTACACACAGGTTGTAATTTAAGGAAAGCTATTTAGGTGATTTAAGGTTACTTCAAACAGCAAACTCTACAACAAAGTGTAAGAAAGTTTCTAGAGACGTGTTATCCGGTCAGTGGTTCGGCACGGAACGCTGTGAAATAATTAAGGTTCAAACTAATGCCCATTTCAGACAAGGCGAAAACGAAATTAGGGATGATCTTAGAGGGCGTCTCCTTCATCCCCGAACTCTTACCTAGCCTAGTCCCCATCTCGTCAGCGACACGTTTAGCTACAGACATGGCTGCCACTCTTCTGGGCTGGGTGCAGCCAATCATACCGAGTTTACTGAAACCTTCTTCGTGCAAATATTGGGTAAGCTGGGTCGTTTTACCACTGCCAGTTTCACCTGGAAGTAAAGGGTATATAATTTTTCAGTACTACAAACTGCATATCGAGTAAAAGTAATATTTTTAACCATTATTTGTCAAATATCAATACTATAAGCAACGTTATTGTAAACATTACAAGAAAAGATGAACTGAATATTCTCTGTCTGAAATCGATGGCACATCTTGTTGAGATGTTATAGTATTTTCCCTTTGAATGCCATGCTTATTTCTTTCTTCAGCTTGTTTCTATCATAAAGAAATTACAGCAGAATTTTCTCCAAAATTTCTTATTGAGTGGTAGAAGCTACACATTTTGTCACGACCGTTTTCATATATTACAAATGTTTATTTTGTTTTATAACCCTAATGAGCTTTGTGTGCCTGTCCAATACATTCTAATAATTGTTTAACAATAAAATTTTATTCTAATTACAGTAGCTTGTTGGAACAAAATATCCCACTCAACAAACTGAAGGTAGAGTTCCAACAGGTAACTTGCCTTCGTAATATATCTTCATTTGTGTAATATAGCTACATTTTTAATGATAGATGGTTACAATTCGAACAAAAGTATTTTTAAAAGATTTGAAATTACAGTTTGTTTCACAGACATCCCGAAAATTACTAGTTTAATAGATACTGTCTGTATTCATGTGGGTAACATATAACACATAAAATACACTTGAAACAATTTAAAACGTTCGGTCCCCCCATGATCACGTTAAACGGTAGGCCGTAGTTAAAATAAATTGTAAATAAGTTTAACAAATTCATTACGCGTTTTAGACCGTTAAAATGTTTAATTTAAGATTCATAGATTTAAGAATTAGAGATCTCGAAATAAGTATATAAATATCAGAAAGACATAGCTTAATAACGGCTCTTACAAACCGGCATACAAATAATAATTAATGTAACTCACCAACAATGATAATGACGTTGTTCTCTCTTATAACTTGCATCAACTCTTCTCGAACTGCGAAGACAGGTAGGAAACGCCTCTGCTCTGATATCGTCTTCTTCTTTACGAATTCTGATTTGGACTCCGGTTGTTGCCCATCTATAATAGTATTGATTTATGTAAGAATTTCTGTCCTATATAAGAATAACTAATTTAACAAATGACGTTGATGATGGGATTCCATGATAGCACGAATCGCTGGGGGTGCCTCTTCAAGTTCTGCCCGTGTCATCGGATTTATTCAACCTATGTGGATTTTAAATTTAAACATAACACAAGATGGGGACGTGTAATATTGCATGCAAATGTGTCCGAGTACCTTATTATAGGTCGCGGAACGGATGTTAGGCGGTGAACGAAATGTAGAGGGGATAGTTGCGCATCGGTACAATCGCACGCGACTGTACTCGAGAAACAAGCGGAGCGTCAAATTGGTCCGAGAAACACAACACGACTGGGGAACCAATCAACGCTAGCGCACATGACGTTTACTCGCCCCGCGCCCGCTTCCGTCCATTCGATACCTTCTGCCCAGGATTCGTTCAGCGTAAAAGTGTTTTTTTTTTTATTGATTCTACGTATTGAGCCCTGCGGGGCTTCGAATACTAAGCGAACGTTTGGGCAAGGGCGTTGCGCTCGCCGTGTTTACGGCTAGACCAAGGGTGCCCCGAGGGGAGCATCGGCCTCGGCTTGGTCCGCCGCAATGCGGGTGGGAGCTTGAGGAGCTGGACGGAAAGTCATCCGGGTGAGCGGCGTTAAAGATCCATTCCGTCTCTATATATATTTGAAGCGTTGTCGGATGGCCCGATGTAATACTCAAAATAAACTTCTCTTCGTATCAGTACAAAACGAAGTAATAAAATACGCAACGATTGAATCGATCCAAACGGATTACTTTTGGAAACGTAGTATGTGTGATGCAGCGGCAATAACTTCTTACGCGTTCTTGACTACCCACCATAAGGAATTCCTACCCCGACGTTATTTCAAAATAACAAATTGTCAGTACCGTCTGACATCTCGCAATGACAGTCTGTCAAACGTCAATGATACTTGACATCTGTATATCCCTTAAGAAAAGTCTCAAAGAATTTAACTATCAGCTATAGAAAACCATTGTTTTGTGTTCTAGTCCACAAAGTATGTATTATATGTCGAATAAATAAGGCCAACTTTTATTACCTTTATCAAGATGTTCGGCATATTTATAGGCCTCCTTTGTAGGACCATCCTCGATTTCTTCTTGTTCCTTCTGTATACCCATTATGTTACCTGTACAAGAATAGAGATATTTTGAAAAGTACATGATGATTTAAGCTGAATTAATTTTACTTAAATCAAGATGATATGAAGTTTAATTTGTGTTTTCAACTTGCTGTAAGGGGAGTAATCAATGGGTCGTGTATTCGATTCCCACCAGATTTAGTATATTTCAAATCAATTTATAATCATTTTGAAACAAGTTTGAATGTCTGTTTTTTTTATATCCTGACCGATTTTCGTCCCCTCTAATTTCCAATGTTTCTTCTGTGCTTTTCTTCTTTCTTTCTGTTCTCTGAACGCTTTCACCAAGGCAGAACCTTTTCTTGCGTTAATTGCCATATCAGATGTTGGGTCTTTGACCTGGAAAAAATATTATTAATTATGTAATTTTGTTTTGTTAAGATTACACATACATTTTTTTGTCTAATTTTTCTCTTTGAAAGTATAATACCGATTTAAGTAATACATACCGGTATCACTGGTTCCGGTTGTTTCGTGAACACAATTCTGCCATCCAAAAATGGAGGCACAATATTGTGGACCAAAAGGTGCACTCTATCCACACTTTCCTGTAATTAAATAAAACACACATATAAGAAAAAGAAAGACACCTTGGGAAAAATGGGAAATTTTATTATTGATATTATTATTTTAGTGTTGAAATGGTAGATTTTATTTAGTCAAAAGCAGTTTATTGAACAGTAGTACCCTGCCCAAGCAAAAATATTTGTTTCTAAATTTGAACGTGAGACCTTGGACCAATCAATTATAAAATTATTATATAATACTACGTAATAATTATTATATAACAAAATTATTATTATATACTTTAGAACAAAAACTTACCTCATCTAAATCATTATTAATATTAATAGAATGCACAACACCACTCGTTAGCATTCTGTTTCTTTCCCACAGCTCATTGTCCTTGTCTATCTGCTGCCTTGCTGCAGACACTTTTCGATTTCTTCTTTTTTCTATTTGTTCTTCTTTTTTTGCTATATATTCTGCTGATGTGCCAGCAAAGGGATCCGATTCGTCTGTCTCACCTGAAATTAACAAGTATAGTAAGTTATCTGAAATCAACAATTAGTGATATGAATGATACTTTGATTTGAAGTCAAAATTTTAAATCAAAGGAGTGATAAGAGGAAACCAGGTAATAGAGCTACTTGCTGGACTAGAAAAATAACTAACCTTTTAAAAATTGTTTTAGTAAATAGCCCTCTTTTAAATAGATTTATATTCACTGTGGATATATGCACAGTCTAATCTTTAAAACAATTGAACTGTTTAAATTATTGTAAGTTTCATTTTACAACTAACCCAAGTTATCAGGTTGTAACACATGAAAAACTCGCGAAAACTACAATACATTCTAGCAAAAAATCACTGGAAACATTTTACCAATCGATTTAAATCATAGACCAGTACTTGTGGCTTGAGAGTATTTTGCTCAAATGAACCAATTTTCTATTTATGAGTAACTTAGCACTAAATGATATACAAGTGACCTAGAATAAAGCAAAAGATTCATATTACTTGTAATACTTTTTTTAATGATTTAAATTCATACCTTCACCCATATTGTACCAAGCTCTGTCCAACTTCTTTTCTGCTTCCTGCCACTCAGGGTCATCTACGTCTAAACCGCGGCGCGAACTAACCCATCTGAAAAATATATTATCAAAAGAATTATTAATTTGAAGTAAAGTGCTTCTAAATAAGGGATTAATTGCAGTTATAAAAAGAATAAAATTATTTCGCCTCTCTTAATTTAAATAGTAAACATTTTCCATTGATGGTATTACTGATACTTATTAGTTTATCCTCCGCAGCAGGTGGAAAGTAGAATTGTGGGCTGTATGGACAGCAAATGATGTGGACTGACTACCCAGGGTTTTATAGGTGTCCACAAAAGAAAATAATAATTACTGGTATTAAAACTGTACATTTCTTAAAAAGAAAAAACATACTTATGCGGTGTTGCTCTAGGTGTGTCATCATAGGGTCTCCCTTTATAATCCCTGCTAGGTTTTCTATCACTCCTAGTTGACCTATCTGGTGTTTCTCGCGGCAAGGGTGTTGGAAAGTCCCAACTAGATTTTCGAATAGCCTTAGGGTCTTCATCATCATCGTCCCAAGCTGTTTTGTCAGTTGGTTTTAAGGCTTTGATGCTGGAAATGAGATTGGTACATATTTCACAACTTTAATAGTTTTTAAATGATGGCATTATTTAAAAATCTAAAATAAATTGAAAAAAATTTCAACTTGGGCAGGACAATGCGGGTTTTAAAATTTGATTCGATTTTTAAATTGATACATGCTGTTGATGAATATTTAAGAAATAAAGTTTATAATGTCTTTTAAAATGTTACAATAATTATATGACTGTACTAACCTAGGAGTCCTGGGTTCATCTTTAAACCTTGGTTCATAATAACTTCTCCTGGAGCTATCTCTATCAGAATCTCTGTCTCGTCTATCTCTATCTCTCCTATCTGAACCTCTATCTCTTCTATGTCTATCTCTGTCTCTTCTATCATCATATCTCCTATCTCTGTCTTGACGGTCATAACGACGATAGTGTCTGTCAATATCTTCATCCTTTGAGCGAGACTTTTTCTCTTCTTGAGATGAGTAATGAACACCTTTCTCTCTTGTTTCCTTTTCCTTTCTGAAATGTATAAAAGAATTATTATTAAATGACCCAATAACATGATGTACAATAGTTCTGATTACACAATGAGTTGCGCAAGAATGTAAACTATTAAAGTAAGTAAGTAATTATAATGTATTTTACACATACATACATGTACATATTTACTCATTTGATCTCTGTTTCAGGTATTCCTTGATAAAACGTTGTATAATTAAATAACACATCTTTCTAGGGCCATGACAAATACAATATTATTGCTATAACCTAAAAGTTACTCAATCTCATACAGTGGTTTTGCAATTGCTAAATAAATTCATATCAACACTGCCTTAAGTAAGTAAGGAGTCATGGAAAACCACATTTCTGTTATCATAAAAAATTCTTATCTTCTTAACATGCAGAAACATGTATTGTTTGCTGATAGTAAGTAAGAGGGAAGAAAAACTAACTTTTGTAATCGTTCTAGCATTCTTTTTCGCGCCTCTTCCGAAAGACCACCAGTGTACGTCGGAGTTTCTTCATTATGTCTTCTATATTTCCTTTCCTTAGCAGCAGATGAATCGCTTTCTTCTTGACTTACGTCTGATTCGTTGTCTTCAGTTTGGAAAGATATTAAACGGTTCTGTTTCCGTTTGGCAGCTGCTAACTTATCGAGTCCTAGTAGGGATGGTCTGGCGAACTGAAATTCTTCTGGTTTATCCTTCTTTTTGATTATAAGACCACCAGGAGCATCCCCTGCAGTACCTTCCAAACGGTGCAGGCTGTTATCGTTGTCTTCCATGGTATCTTTTTATTCAAAAGCCACCAATGTTCATAATATACAAATACGCGCAAGGGTTCAATACATACTGAATTATTAACGCAATTCAAATATTTCTTCAAAACAAGAAACAAACAGGAAAGTCGCGCTGCGAAGTTTGAATTGTAATTGTCCATCAAACGTCACACTGTAATGTCAAATGGAACGTCAAGCAACAGATTAAATTAAACCACAGGATATTAATAGTTTAACTAATAATTCCTGTAAACGAAAATTCAATATACATTATATTATGATTTATTCGTTAATAATAATTCTTTGTATATTTTGTTAAATATCTTGTGCTTTAATGCCAGATTTTTTAAAAACCCATAATGTCCCATGTTTAATTTATTACGGTTGAAATATTTTTTTTTACAATACAGAAGGACAGAGATGCATAGGGTTCATTAGAATAGAACGGGAATATGAAATACCCTAGCTTTATAATATCTCAATCTCTCACAATGCGCCATCCAAATATCCGAAGCCCAAATAGTATTTTGGCTTTGGAAATCCACACAAAAACTGAAACGCGATCATACTTGATGACTTTTTCATGTGTTAGTGAATCGGTCGGACTTTACGAAATATCCCTATAACCATTTAATATCCAGATTGTAAATTGCTTAGTAACGGGTGGACCCTGAGGAGATTGAGACCACGACCCGTTGATTATTGGCTAGTGCTACTATTAGATCAACGAGCCCGTCTATTCACAGACCATTATGATAAAAATTAAACATAAACACCAGCGGTCGGAAACCTGAGGTAAAAGAATGAATTGCAGTTTTAATAACTTGCGTGTAATTAACAAGTATAAACAGAAATTGCCCACAAAATATACAAGACGCGAAAATCTTTTCGTTATTTTAAAAATAGAACAGTGTTGAATTGATGCCCGTGCGATGAAGACGTGTGATTAAAAAAATGGAGACCGCGTCGGCGCGAAACTTTGTTAGTTTGTTACTTGAAAGTATTGTAATATTTCGATAGTGCGTGATTTATTGAACTCGATTAAATGATTAGTGGGCTATTGTTGGAAGTGATGCGCGACAAGGTCAATTTACTAGCAACCAATTAATAGTGGGTGACATTATATTAGAATAGCTCAGTTTTGGATGTTTTGTTTGTGGATCCATCATGGCCAATATTGAAAACAGCCTGGAAACTGATGAAGTGCTCGGTACGCTCGGTACATTTTAATTTCCCAAGTAGATTTGTCGTATGGAATATTACTAGATACTTAAATGACGATGTTAACTTTATATAAAGCGCCTTAAACGGTTTAGAACGCGAACTATCAGCCACAAAGATTGTAACCAGACCGTTGTCATTATAAAGTTAACTTAATTTTAAAGTTATACTATGTAAAGTTTTAGGGATATGTACATACATAACTAAATCCGCCGATGTAGCCAAATGGTTAAACTGGAGAGGTCCTGTGCTCGAATCCTAGGCAAACAAAAATATGTTTCGGTCGGGCAGGGCACAGAAGTCTGATCAAATACTTGCCTGTTAAATAATGGATTAGTGAAACGGATATAAAAATCTGTTTGCCCCATGCCCCACAAGGGAGAAACGGGATTTCACTATACATAATTTAATGTTTAATGCATCGAAATATTTACGAATCTATTTACCAACCATTTTTATAATTAAGCTTTAAATTACGATTTAGATTAAAATAATACGTTGGTTAGGGATATACAACCATACATGGCATCGTTAGTTATTTTTCTTATGTACTACGTAACAAATAAAATGTAGGTGATTGGGGAATGGAAGAAAACATCTTGAGAATGGGATTAGAATCATGGATAACATAAGTCTTATGTTTGTTATTATATTTTTTATACTATTTCTTCTTCTTGCTCCAAATTAAAAAAAAAAATACGTGTATTTATATAGCTGCTATGTATGTTTATATTATATACCTACTTCTAACACTTAACCTAGAGGTTTTGCTTTTTGGACCCATTTATTAATTTTACTCATAGGTATTTACAGAACTTAATATTGTTATTTTTGGGATCTAGGTATCAACTAGGCACACCTAAAAAAATAATTAACGAAAAACAAACAAACTTTTTACATACATTTAAATTAAAAATCGATTTTAGATTGAATTTTTTTTTCGACACGGACTTGAACCGGCATTCAGAGTAGGTAGGTATTCCGTGTTCTACAGAGGAAAGGTTTTTAATTTATATAGTCTCATGTGCAATAAAACTTATAAGTTTTCAAATACAATGATTAAGTCATAGAATTATTCACCCATCAATTTTTCTAATAAAATACGTAAATAACTATTTTATGAATCCGGAATAACACGTTTGCGTTAATTGCACACGTGAACCAACATTGGCCTAGAACTTGATTGAGATAATAAATAGTGATAAGCCGAGAATAAAACGTAATGAAGGAGTGACGTCACAGTTGTGACTCTATGACCATTGGTCAATGTTATGGAATAGCTTTTTTCCGGAGTAGTATCGTACTAGCTGTGTTCGTGACTTAGTCCGGGTACAATAGTAATTTTGGGCATCATATTATTTTTGCAAACTACCTCCTTATTTTTATAAATTCTAGCTGCTACCCACGACGTCGTCTGCGTCCCGTCGTTCTTGCAATTAAATCTTAAAAGATAAACGTATACCGCCGCGGCAATTCTTTAGACGCAACGAAAAAATAATTCTTAAATTCCCGAGATCTGCGCGTTCAAACAAACATCAAACTTTATAATACTAACTACCTGTGCCCGCGACTTCGTCCGCGTGGAATAGTGACTTGGGGTAGAATTTTTATTTAGGCTGTTTATAAGTAAGGGCGCATTTAATGCCTATCTATGTTGTAAGTGCTACTTTGCCGCAACACTCTTACTTCACATCATTCCTACTCTAACTCGAACTCCCACACCCATTCTAAAAAAGCCCAAGAAGAGAGTTTCATTGTTCTAGCTTCAAAAACCACGAATTTCCATAGCAACTTTCATCCTTTATTGGTATTAAAAAGTATTTTATTTATTTGTATAGATATAAATTTACAAGAAAAGGTGTCTAATGAGATAAATCGTCGTATTATAACATTATATTTTTTAAAAACAAATTTATATACAGGAGAAAAGAAAAGACACTTACCGTCAATTGATCCCCATCAATTGACGAAAAACATTAAAACGTACGACCATATTTTAGTTCATAGAAAAAAAATGTAAACTAGGTTTGTGTAATAAGTATCTTTAGGTAAACATGGAATAAGCTCCAAATCTAACTACTTACTTAGCCTATCTTGACATGGCAAATTTAATTCGTTGAAACGGAAAATAAGATTAAATAAAAAGTTTTTACGGTTAAAACGCGGAATATATTATATTAACTTATTTACAAGTTATCTTAAGTATCCGACGTTTCTACAAGGACACGGTCAGTTTCGCCAAATACCAACTACGACAAATACAACCTACCTACGACGAAACAGACAGCTCTAGAGGCTCATTGCGAATAACTTTAACTAATATAATAATTTTAAACCGTTAAAGTGTTTTATTTAATAGTGTACTCGCGTAAACTGCAGGCAGAAAAATAAGTTTATACATGTAAGAATATCTTATAGTACCTAGCGACGCCTGGTGGGTATTTACCTCGTTCTATCGTTGAAACATAAACCAGCTGTGTGTTTCATTTGATGGTCAGATTTATATCAGACGACACCTCGAAGTGCTTTGAAGTATCCGATTGTAAACTAACATCAAAGGCGTTAAAAGTATATTTCGGTTATCAGATTTTACTGTGGTGTTCTGGATATATATGCGAATTGTAGAGCGGAAAACGTTTAAATATTTCTTATCACTTTATGGTTGGTGAAATTCCCCAGCCATATACATAAGCACAAGATACAAGATGCACTGTCGACCTTTTTGCTTCGCATATGCGAATATCCACAGACTGAAACCGAAACGCGATTAAACTTGACGACTTTTTTCATCTGTGGATGGTGGTTTGTGACCTTGATGGTTTTTCAATATTCATACCACCCACTAATTTTCCTGATTTCCAGACGAACTCCAACATGTTTCAGAAAATTATAGATAAGAAAAATTTTGGACCCGGTGGGGATCAAATCGACGACCCATTGATTGTTAGCCACACATGGCTACCACTACACCGACGAGTCCGCTAATAAAACACTTTTAACGGTTTAAAGAGCAAAATATATTAGTTAACTTACTTCTAATTAATTTATTTTAAAGCAGACGGGGAAACTGGTTCCGGTCGACTCGTGTCCCTGGTAGGGTTAGTACTACCAGCTCATTCATTTAACGGATGTACGATTTATCACACTCCTCACAGCACAATTGCCGTCGTGGACGTGCATTACACAGTCACACCATCAGTTAGAAAATATGTGACAATTGTGGGATAAACTTGTGTATTGTCTGTAGTTTACGCGAGTAGTAGAAATAAAAAAAACGCATAAAATACACACAACACAAAATCCATCATAAAATCGGTAACATAACATAAACGTTGATAGACAGATCTCGAAATGTGTTTTCAATGAAATTTTTTTACCGTCCAGTAAGCACGAGTTGGGGGTCAACTCTCAAAAAAGTGATAAAACTCGACGACTTATATCGTTTGCCCTATCACGCACAATTTTGGTAAGGTCGTTGTTCTTAATCCTAGTGTTTCCTAATAGTAGTAATGCAAGTAAACAACGGCTCCTAGATATGATCCCCACCAGGTCCACCATGTTTCTCAACAATTTATAATTTTCTGAAACATATTGGACTTTGACCTGATATGCAATGAATAGTTGCTTGATAGATTGAAAAAGCCCTGAAGTTTAATAGCGTTATGTTTTCCGTCTGTGGATTTCCGAATATCCAAAGCCGAAATAGGTCGTCCCATCTCACTAAGAGAACCCCATGCTTCTCTGTCATCCTCTATGATCAATAGAAACGATGTTGTTAAATATATCCCTGACTCTACCCCCAACCAAACTTTATATTGTTTCAAAGTTTACCAGAATAGAGTATATGTATGTATATGAAAACAAATGGTGTTATTGAATATGATGATTTAAAAATCGGAAATAAATTGAAAAAAAATTCGACTCGGGCAGGACTTGAACTGGCATCGTCAGCGTTCCGTGCTGTTGCTCTACCAATTAAGCTACCGAGTCATTCATCATATCATTGTGTTTCGGGCAGTGGATATTCTTAACGATGGCCGTGAAAGCCTTATACGATTTAGTAATATACATATATGATATATAAATATATTATATATTGCTTTAAGAGTTCTACATACATTCTTTTTGGATGCTGTATTTACAACTTAAATATAATTTAGAAATCAAATAAATAAATAGTTTACGAATTATGTCGGCGTTGTTAATATATTATATCCCTTTTTTGAGAATTGCCCCCGGGGACCAAGCGACATGAACTAATTGCTTACCGACGAGTAAAGAAAACCGAACTTGTTCTAATTAAGAATAATGAAATAGTTTCAGAGACAAATTTGACATTTTTTTATAATTGGATGATTTTCTAACAAAACGTAGGTACTATTAACAGAGCTCACTTGTGAACACGAAAGCATAAGAGGGCCCGTCACCTATGTTCGAATACCGGGAAAAAATATAGGTAATCCAGTTCGGCAAGGGAGAGAACCTGAAGTATGGAAGATGAAATTTCACACACACATTATTCAGGTAATAAGAAATAATTTTTTGACCGTCAATCGTTTTGCGATAGAATATTTTTTTAATTTACTTATATACATAGGTATAGTTTTTTGTATTATATGTACTAGAATATTTAACGACAGACTTATTGAATATATATGTGTAACCAATGGAAATCGTCGCCGTTCTATAAATAAAGCAAACATAAATCAATAATACAAAAACGTTTGAAATAATTAAATTCGGTCAACGAACGTTGAAATTACTAAATGTCGGCCAGTTTTAAATGAAATGCATGAAAATGTGTTTTGCAGTGTAGACATTTCAATTTTCACTTGGGAAATGAAAAGCGTGTTGCAGTTGTAATATGTTAGTAAATAAAACAACGGTGAGGTAGGTGTAAGAGTGTAAATTACATTTTGCTAAAACAACATTCATTCTATAACTGCTTTATCAACATTATTTTCATTAACCTTTTGAGAAAAATAAGGA